GAGGTCACCGGAGCTGGCTTTTCTCACACATTTTTCATGCAAATTCGCGAAACTCTAAACAAATTTGAATAAAAAGCTCTTTGTGCCTGGAGTCCCCCCAGTCCACTCCCTCCCGCCTGGGGTCCTGGCTCCTCCCGGTGCCCCGGGGCTCCAGCCGGCTGCCCCGCAGGGGGAGCCTTGCACTTCTCTGAGCAGCGGCGCTCGCCTGCGGTCTCGGGCCGCCTGGCCGCAGAAGGGTAGGGAGGGACGTCTCACTGGTGTCCTGAGACTCGCCAGGCTGATGGAGACATCTGGACAGAGGACACCTGTGTTTGCATCCCGGCTGCACCCACAGCCCTGCTGGCTACCATGGACGCCCGATGGAGCCTCACCCTCCCCTTTTCATGGGAATGAAGATAGTGCCATTTATACCTAAGGATTAAACTATAATTTAAAACGCAAACAAGCCTTTAACAACACTGCCTGGCCTAAGAAAGTGTTCATTATTGTCTGGGTTCCCAGGTTTTTTGAGGAGGAAGCCTGAGATAGAAACATGGCTGCGTCTTTGCGCATACATGAAGAAAAACTTGCCAAGGGCTTTCAGAAGGTTCATGACTCCTGCACCTGCTTCTGGTCAGAGAGATGAGATCTGGAGCATGATTTCACTGCTTCCCAGCAGTGTGGCTTGGTGTATTTTTTAGCCTTTCTGAACCTGTTTCCTAGTCTGTAAAACAGGATTGTCTCATGGGAGCCCAGTGAAAATTAAATGAGAAGACACTAATGAGAGTTTACAAGGAGATTGGGGGGTGGTTCCCCCAATCCAGAACTTCTAGGACACATCTTCTGAGGTCAGAGGACCTATAATTACTGCCTCCTCCCTTCAGGCAACACCTTGGACAGACCCTGGCCTGCATCTTCTTACCCAGGTGACCCTAGTCCAGGTCAGGGGGCCAGACTTTCCAAGCCTTTGTCAGACTTCTTACTCCACCCTGCCCACCTTCCCCAAGGGTCCCCACCACACCTTGAGACACCATGAATTAGTTGTCTCTGCTAGTGACTGAGTCTCACTTTCTTCTCTCACACCCACCCATAAAAACTGACCAGAAACACGGAAGGCTTTGCAAAGAAACTTTATTCACTGTGGGCAGAGGCAAGAAAGGTAGAGGGTTCACAAGATGAAAAGAGGTCTCTTTCCCTGGGTGGGGGTGGTCTCAGGACCATCCAGAGGGACCCAGTGGCCTAGGAGGAATCCTTGTGACTCCCACTCCTGCTTATCTAGTCTCGGTCTTTCCTGTCATGCCAGTTCTCAGAAGCACTGGGCTAAGGCTCCTTCTTGACAGTTTCCTTCAAGTCAAGGACCCCAAGGATGAAGAGGGGTCTATAGTAGAGCAGGTGGCCAGCAGCCAGAAGGCCAGGTGGTAGCAGCACTCACCAATGGTCCTGGGTCTGAAAGTGGCTCTGTAATATTCTGTAATACTCTGCTACCCCAGCTGAGCACACCCCAGGAGAGAGATGGCACTGGAATCCTAAGAGCAGGACTATTGGAGTGACCTTTCAGGGAAGTTAGTGTCTGTGCTTGAGGGTCTGGCCAGAAGGGGCTGCTACTCTGGGACCTTCTTAGAGTGACCCAAACAAGATCTCTTTGGGGTTATGAGTATAGACCTTACAGTCAATAAGAATTGGTTTTGAATTTCAGTTCTGGCACTTTTTAGCTGAGTGACTCGGAGCCTCTTAACAAATTTTCTGATCTTGATGTCCTTGCTGATACAATAAGTGTGTCAATGGCACCCAAAGTGGGTAAAATTGAGGACTCACTGCATCAAAGCAAGTGACCTGGCATCTGGTCATCCCTCTATAATGGAGGCTCTTAATGCTTCTTCCTCCCTGATGGCTGGCAGCAGATTTGGGGTTGACCCTAGCTACTGCCTGACCTGTAGGTTTTCTGTCTTTCCCTGCCCCAACTCACTTGCTGGCTGCTATGGTGCCCCTCAGATACTTTCTAGGGTGAAGCAGGGGTAGCAACTGGTGCTCTGAGAGGCCTAGAAGCCTAGCACAATAATGTCGTTCTTTCTCTCTAAATACAGGTTGCTTATGCAAATAGGGCCTTTCACAGCCTGGTCCACCTCCTAACCCCAGTTTGAGGACACCTCTGTTGGGCCTCAAGGGATGGGGCTATCTCCCAGATATTCATGGTCCACTTTGTGGCAGACCCTGGAGCTTCCTCCTCCCTGAGAAGGCAGTTCTGGAGGTATGAGAGGCCAGGTCCACTGGTGGGAAATGAAGACCACACCTGGGCCAGGCTGACTCCGCCCCTCACCTGCCAAGGAGCTGGAGCAAACCAATGACATCTACCTAAGCAAAACCCAGAGAAATGAAGTCTGGCTAGGCTTTTGATTAACACTAGCAGCTACGATGACGATAGGCGATTACTGGAAAGGCCAATGGCAAAGGCCATTAGTAGTTCTGGAATGCTTTTTCCCAGTCACCGCCATCACCATGGAGCACCTACCCCAAGTTGGTTGATAGAAATTAAGCCTAGTATATTAAATAGCCCCATGTTTCATAAGCTATTTCACTAACGTGGAGCTAGGCATGGTGATGAACACCTGTAGTCCTAGCATGCTGGGAGGCTGAGGCAGGAGGATAGCAAGTTTGAGGTCAGCACGTGCAAGTTAGCAACTTAGTGAGAACCTATCTCAAAATAAAAATACAAAAAAGGGCTGGGACTGTAGGGATGTAGCTCAGTATGAAGGCCCTGGATTCAATCCTCAGTACCACACAAAAAAATTAATCAATGAATCAAACACTAACCTGGAAAGAAAATATAATAGTATGGAAGAGTACATCCCTCCAACCTCAATTCCCAGAGGTAGCTGTCCAATATATATTTTTAGAAATTTCTATATATAAGCATACTCATGACTTTGGGGGGCTTGGGATTGAGCTTGGAGCCTTTGCAGTGATGCACATTCCCAGGACCCTGCCACACCCGCTTTCTTGAGACAAGGTCTCACTAAGACATTCAGGCCAGGCTTGAATTTGCAATCCTTTGGCACCAGCCTCCCAGAGTGCTGGAATTACAGGAGTGTGACATCACACATACATTTGGCACAGCTGGGTGGGTTGGGTGCTGGGATAAGCACATGCTATGCCACTGAGCTACACTCCAAGCTCCTATGTCTGACTTTTAAATATAAACAAATAAGAACATTCTCTATTGCCTATTCTGCAATTTATTCTACTCACCCAATAATACACACTGACCAACCTTCCATATCAACTTGGATATAGAGACCCACCATATTGACTTTTATAGTTGCATACCATGATATTCCCACTATGAAAAGGCCCATTGGCTCACTTCCATTTCCTTACACTCTTAAAAAGAAATGATCCCACGAACATCCTTCCACATACTTTGGGAACTTTTGCAAATATATGTACAACGCAGTGCAATCTGTGGTAAAGTATGTGTGCCCTTTATACTCTAATATTGCCACATTTCAGAAAATATTGTACAATTTATACTTCCCAACCAACAGTATTACAGTGTCTTAAAATATACACAGAATGGCACAGAAGGCACAAAAATGCCAGCCAGTGAAACAGAAGCACTGAAGGAGCCCATCAAGAATGGGCCAGGGATTTAGCTCAGTGGTTCTGCCACCTGCCTCCCAAGTGTAAGGGCCTGAGTTTGATTCCAGTACCCCCCAAAAACACTATGGCACTGTGCTGCCTGGTGTCCCTAAGGGCAATGCACAGTGGCTTCCTTTTCTCCAGCTCTGGGCAGGCTGGTGGCCCAAGGGTACCCTGAGTCACAGGAGAGAGGGGCCTGTAGGAACCCTGGGGGTAAAGGGCAGGTCAGTGTGGCTGGGGTCCCGCCTGAATGGCTCCCTGAAGCCATTGTCTCTGTCCTGCCTGGTCTCCTTGAGGGGAGTTTATTCAGAGGCCCACGGGGAGGGTGTGTAGTCCTCACCAAAGGCACCCAGGAATGTGTCACAGGAGGGAGAGAAAGAGGAAGGGGGGTAACTCACCCCTTGGAGAGACCGGACGTCAAGAACCCCTGACTAATGAATAGCGAGTTTGCCCTTGAACCTCTCACTGGGCTTCACCATTCTCAGGCACAGAACAAGAGCCTAGACACGTCTGAGCCCAGCTGCATGGGGGCGGCGGTGGTTCATCTCAGACCCTTTGACAGCCTGAGCCTTTTCCCTGCATAGCTCGGATCTGGCTCCCGGCTCCCCTGGCAACAGCACAGCAGCCTGGCTCCTGAGCCCAGGCCCTGCCTGCTGTGACAGGAGGAGGGAGGCAGGGGAGCACTAAGGGGAGGACAGCTTCGGAGAGGGAGTTGATGACTCCTAGCAGGCTGCAGCCTGGGTTTCAAGGACTTCCTAGCACCCCGCCCCACCTGGTGCTTTGGGGTGGAAATGTGGATGGGGAGAGATCTTCCTTGTGCCAGTGTTCCATGGTACACCAGGCCCAGAACAGGCCAGGTGGGGCATGACAAGGGCAGGAGCAGTGGAGGAGATGCCATCAGGTCAAAGGCAAAGGACCCTTGGGAAGGTTGGGGCACACTTCCCCAGGCAGGATTTCTCAGGGTGCCACCAGCCCTCTACTGCACCACAGGACAGTGGCTGCTGAGTCTCCTTTTCCCGCTCTGGTCTTTGCTTCCCCTTCTGATGTTTGCCAAGTCCAGGGCAGCCTGGCTCCATCTTCCAATCCTGTGACCTTGTCAAGAGTCACCATTCTCTCGGTTTCCATAAAAGCTGAAAAAGAGGCTGTCCCATCACTTCCCTTCACAGGACAATCTAAAGAGAAGAGAAATAATAGTGAGCAGCTTTGCACTCTGGGGAGGAAGGTGTCCTATAAATCTCATTCAGGTATTATTAGGGCTGAAACTAGGTATCTCTGCTCCCCAGGGAAGGAAGGGACAGAGCTCTGCCAAGGTTGTCTTAGGACCTCCCTACAGGGCAGTCCTGAAACTAGAAGGCAGTAGATCAGATGTCAGGGGCTTCTGCTGTGACATGTGGGTTCAGCTGGGATTAGGCAATGAAAGAATAAGTATTATCACTTCAAGGTCTTTTCCCTGCATTACATCTATGTCTTCAACTTTATGAGAAAGATGTGGTTATCCTCAATTTAGAACTATGGAAACAGAGGCTCAGAGAGGTCAAGTGGCCGGCACAGGGTCATTCCAGTCATACAAGGATCTTGCAGCCACATGCACCTGATAGCCATATTTGTCTCAACTGTGCTAGTGGCCAAGCTACCTGGCTGCAGGTGCTGCAGACAGGGGCTGGGTACCATGCAGTGCTGTCCCCATAGATGACTTCTCAGGATTTGGAGCTTTTGAATCTAAAGGCCTAGCCCAGGGAAAGTTCTGAGGACTCCGCAAACACATCCTGAGGCCACCATGGCAATCAGGGATCAGAGCCCATGGAACTAGAAGAGAAAGCAAAAGCATCTGGCCTTGAGGCTGGGAACAGACCTGGATGATCCTAGGCTCCCTGGCCCAAGTCTTACTCCAGGGAAGATTGCTTCTCAGCCACATGCCACTTGCCAACAGAGAGGTAAGTTTTCCTTTTTGCAGCTTCTAGGTTAAAGTGCCTTCCTATATCCCGAGGCAGCTCACAGGAGACAAAGCTGGCTGTTTCCTATAAAATGAGGAGCTGGGGGTGGGATCCTGACAGGTGACAAAGTAAAAAAGGCAGGGAGAACTCTCACATTGTAAAATGCAAGGGCTAAGAAGGCATCATCTTATCCAGTGTTCTTTTTCCAGGTTCAGAAAGGGAAATGGCTTGACCAAAATGATTGAGTAGAATGTGGGCCCGGAGTCAAGTCTCTGAGCCCCAGCTAAGTGGAGCTGTCTTCAGATACCCTTTAGCAGGCCACCTGGGGCCCTTAAAGCAAAGATTTTGCCCAACCAGGGCAAAGAGAAAGAAGCTGCTCCTCAGAAAGTGCACATATCCAGGGGTGGCCTCTAAAAGCCTGGGGCTGGGCAGATGCTGCCTTGAGGTCAGAAGTGCTATTCAAGGACAGACTATGGCCCCACAGCACCCCAACACCACACTCATCCCCTGGGCACACAGCAGGGACCGCCTGCCTCCCTTCGCCAATGAAGAAGCAAAGGCCTGAGGAGGTGGACCAGAGTGCAGCCCAGCTCCACAATGCTTCTGAAAAGGGACACGCAGAGAGTAAGAGCTCCAGGGCAAGCATCCCCACTGAGACAGGGAGCAGAGCTGAAGTCAGCAGGGAGCCTGGAGCTGAGAAGGATGGCAGACCTGACCTGCTCCGAATGCAAAGGAGGTCCCAGGATTCCATATCACGTGACCTTGGCAGGGGCTGCCCTAGAGGGATGTCCATGTGCCTGGTGATGAATAGATGCACAGTGTAGCAGAAGGACACAAAGACAAATGAACTGATCCCAGGCTGGACGTGCCCTCCTCCCTGGGCTGATGGTTTGGGCCAGTTGCCATCCTGACTGGTCAGTACCCAGGCTGTACCAGTGGTTAAATGTCTTCGATATCACTACCATCCCCATCCCGAAGTCACAGCTGTATTAAATGACCTTGAAAAGTTCAAGTCCTTTATATCCGTCCCATACCTAAGGGAGAGAAGGAAAACTAACCCTGTTTAGTATTTCCTATGTGCTGATGCTCCTCATAGCACCTCCAGAGGTAGAAGTTATTTTTCCCATTTTATACATGAGGGTAGAGAGACTCCAAAACATTTAGGCATCTGCTGACAGAGATCTTGTGCTAGGCCTCTGCCACAGCATCCATTTCTCTCCCTTCCCCTCCAGCTAAGGTCAGCTGAGCTGTGCCCATCCTGCCAGGATACAGCCTCACAACCACCTAGGCTTAAATGTTACCACAACTTCGATCTCCTAACTCCTTGGGTTTTCTCATGATGTTCAGTCTCACACAGGAAGCCTGCTGTCTTGGTTCTAGAATAAATATGTACCCAACACCATACTGCATTTTCCTGGCTGGCCAAGAGGACAAATACCTGCAGACGTGCAGATGGCCTCTTCTAACTGGGACCGGCAACCAGAGGGTTTGGGGGCAGGGGTAAGGTTGGTGTCAGCTCCTGAACAATAAAACCCTAGCCATGCAGAAAGGGCTGGAAACCTTAATCCTGGGGACTCTCCTCCTGAGGAACAAAGCCAGGTGACAGCTGACTGCGTGCGGGCCTGTGCCCCAGCCCTCCACTGGCCACCACCCATGCTGGGGCCAGCCCAGCCAGGGCTGCTGCCTCCAGACGGGGAACCACGCCTGGAATGTGATTCCCTGGCTTTGTGTGATGCTCAGTGACGCTCCGCTAGCAGAGTGCGACTCCTAAGATCCCCTGTCACCTCCTAAAGCCCCTGCCATCCCGCCCCCCAGCACCACACTGATCACCAGATTAAGGGGCTCAGCTTTACAGCTGAGGCAGCAAAGACCTGGAGGGAAGCACGGGGAAGGGAGGGAAGGGCCGTGGGCAGCTCCCTAGAGTAGGGACTGATTGGGGCAGTACAACCAGGGATCAAGTGAGGGCTCCCTATGGGTCCGTCTGGCCAGCTGCTGGCTCAGAGCAAAGTGTACCCTGCCACACCTGAGGAGAGAGAGGGAGGGAGTGGCAGAGATGGATGGGGAAGGCAAAAAAAGGGGGGAACAAGGGAGAGAACCTGAGCATGACAAGATTTTTCCTGGGACTCCAGCATTTCTGGAAACAGGGGCACCACAACTCATTTAAAACACGCACAAGAGACAAAGTTCTCTCTGTCTGTCCGTAGGGGTTACCAGGACTACAAGAAATGAGATGGAACTGGGAGTTTTGCCACATGACCTTTTGGACTGGGAGAAGTCCTGGCCTTGGACTTATGGTTAGTACAGAGCCTGTGTGACAAGGGCAGGGCTGGGGGGCTGAATGGCAGGGAGAGCCCAACAAAGGGCTTAGGCATCCAATCCCCCAGAACTGAATCAAGAGGGAGACCCACGTACCTGGCTGAGAAGAAGGGTACTGCTCCCCAGTTACTGGTTACTGAACTGTGCGGGATCGGGGAGGGGTCAGAATACAGGTACAGCCTAGCTCAGCTCTGCTTGGCAGGCATCCAGCCCCTTCTCAGCCCCGTCCTCCGTCCCAGGGCCTGCAGGGGCAACTAGGGTACACCCAGGGCCCCAGCCAATCACAGCCAATCACTCCAGCATGTCCTGTGTGCCCTCGGCCAGGCCTGGGCCGCTGGCCACGGCCTGTTTCCCACCCCTGCTCCACAGTGGCTGGGGAGGAGGCTCAGCCTCAGGCTCAGGAGGGGGACTCCGAGGACCTGGGAAGACAGCTCTGCCTGCTCCTGTTCCTCAGCCTGGTCTGACATGGGTCTGCACCTGAGTGTAGGCGGAGATGAAGTCCTTCCCGAGATATCTCCTCCACCCCCAGCCAGAATCCACGCACTTTCCCATTCTTGTGGTGCTGAGCGAGCACAGGTTTGAAAGGATCAGCACTGCCACCACCACCATAGACTCTCCAAGTAGAAAGGAAAGTAGAGATTCCTGAAGTTTACCTCATTCATCTGGCCAATAGGAAAATGGGGACTCTAGGCTTGGGAGCCTGGCCTGCTCAGTCACACAGCAAGGTGGTGGCCAGGCCATTCCTTGTACCTTGTCTACCAGATCCCATTCCTTTCAGGTCAGGACTCAACAAAGGCCTAAGAGGAGGCTTCTCCATCACAACCTAAACAAGATCTTGGCCCACCACAGGCAGCAGGGGTCTGGGGACAAGGGAGGCCATAATGCAATCAGCAGACTGGCCATCTGGCTCAGGGACGGAGGAGAGACCAGACTGGTCGCTTCTGCTGCCCGGTCCCAAGGGGCCCTGTGTTGCAAGAGGCAGACTGCCAGATGGACAGGCATTGGCCTGGGTCCGGGTGGAAGCCAGTGAGCTCCCTGTCATCAGAGCTGACCAACTTGCTGATGAGCAGGGTAGCAGTGGAGGGGCACAGGGAGCAAACCCAGGCCCCTCCAAAGGCAGAGATGGTGGAGACCCCCACCCAGGCTCAGAGTCTGGTTCCCCAAGTAGGCCCAGCCCTTCTCAGCTGCACAGCCCTCAGCCCGCTGGCCAACCACAAACAGGGCCCCCTCCCGCAGAAAGGCAAACACATCTCCCTTGGCACCTTCTCAGACATGCATGCAAAACTAATTAACATGGGGAGACATGCAAGCAGCCGGCCAGCTCCACACCCTCGAGTCCACGCAAACAAGGCCAGCCCTTGTCCGGGGGACCTGCACAAAGCTTTGTTGCTAATTTAGGCATCTGTCTCTGTCTGGTCTGGTCCTCCTGCCTGCGCTGGGGTTTTTCCCAGCCCCTTAGACAATGCTGGGAACAGGCCCGCCCGATCCCTTATTCAAATCACACCCGGGACAATGAGTTCATTGTGCAGGCCACAGAAAGGGGGATGCTGGGGGTGGGAGTCTGTAAGGGCCATAGGGGAATGGAAAGGGTGAGGGGGTGTGAAGAAAATGGGAACCCAGGAAAGTGTTTACTAACACAGCCCCTGCAGCTGCCCGGGGCCCCTTTCCCCTCCCCTGCCTGGCTGGGAGCTGGAGAGAAATGCTGGGATTTAGAGATTGGGGCACAGGGCAGGGGGTGAGGGGCCTTGTATCTACTGGCCCAGCAGATCCGAACTTGGCTAGAACCTTCACCTTGTTGATTTGTCCTATCCTCCACAGTCTACAGCGACTTCTGCATGTCCAAGCAGGTGTATTTTTATAGAATGGCTTGGGGGTCTTTTTTGCTTACATCAGGCTTAGTGGAGCAATGTGCAGACCCAACTAAAGAGGTGAGACAGGGCCGCGGGGAGAGGTGTAGGTGGCTGTGCTGGGTGCAACCTGCTGTCTCCGCCATCATCTTCAGGCAACATTTCATTTTCTCCTCCTTCCCAGCTAATAAATTAGAGAGAAGACAGTGTGCCTCGAAGGGATTGGCTCCCCATGGACCAAGGTGATGACACGTAGGAAGGCGAATCTGTGCACTCATGACCAGCAGGGCCGCCACTCCGGCCACACCTGGACAGACAGGTGAATGCTAACCCCCTCGAGAGCAGCACAGTAACCTGTGTACCCGTCCATAGGGCATGGACATCCATCCATGTCCTCCTCCACCCAGGGGAAGAACTGGCGCTGTGAAATGCCTTCCTTCTTACCAACACCACCCCCCGAGCTCCTTGTCGCACGGAGCGCGCCCAGACAGGCCGACATAAATAGACACGCACAGCCTGACACTGACACGCAGACACAGAAAGAAACACACACTCCCAGAGGCAGCCCCAGACACACACACTGACAATGGTGCAATGAATGTGCACGGCAAGTGCATTCAGTCAGAAGTGCACATTTGCGGCCGCCCAGCACCGCCCCGCACAGGGGTGGCTGGAAGGTTAGGGAGCAACCTCCTCCCTACACATCTCCCAGAATGGGAAGAGAAATCCTATTTCAGGCTTCCATATGAAAGCAAATGCCTTTCAAGAAATAAAAGTTTGGAACTGGTCTCAGCCTTTAGGGTTGGCTGAGCTATCCAGAGACAAAAAAAAATTTTTTTTTTTTTGAGACAGAGTCGTGCTAGGTTGCCTAGGCTACTCTTGATCTCTTAGGCTCAAACAATCTTCCTGCCTCAGCTTTCTGAGTATCTAGAACCACAGGCAGGCACCACTGCACTCATTTTTGTTGTTGCTTTGATTTTAAATAATGAAAGAGTGCTCAGTAGTCATCTTATTTGCCTTTATACTGAGCTACATCCCCAGTGCTTTAATGCTTTTTTTTTTGAGACATGGTCTCCTTTTGTAGTTCAGACTTGCCTTGACCTCACTGTGTAGCCTAGGCTGGCAGGTGCCACCATACCTGGAACCAGTGCTATTTATTTTTGAGATAAGGTCTCACTAAGTTCCTCAGGCTGGGCTTGAACCTGTGATCCCCCTGCCTCAGCCTCCTGTAGAGTAAGGACTGCAGGTGTGCCCCACCATGCCTAGCTTTAATAGTCATCCTAACTGTCCCAACACTGGGGCTGAACAGAGCTTTGTCAAGGTAATTTTGCTTTGAAGTACAGTCTACAGGTTGGAGCCATTTCTTCCTATTGTTAAAAATAATTTTGAGAAGGGACCATAGGATAAGGAAGAATACAAGTGGTTAAGATCTCAGATACCTATTAAAATGTGCTTCTAGCTGTGCTTGATGGCGGCTGAGGCAGAAGGACTGCCACAAGTTCGAGGTCAGCCTGGGCTATATAGTGAGTTCAAGACCAGCCTGAACTACATGATAAAACCCTGTCTCAAATGAATAAATAAACAAACAAATAAATAAAATGTGCCTCTGTCCCAGAGTAATGGAAATATGCTAGGTTGAACCACATAAAACAGTCAATACCTGACTATTTTTAACTAAAAAAAATGAAATTTCATATGGGTCAGCCTAATAGGCAACTGGTTCCAAGAAGGGGAACTAGTTTTTATTTTAAAAATTTATTTCTCTGATTGAGACAGGGTCTCAATATGTTGCCCAGTTGGGGCTTAAGTCACCTTCCTGCCTCAGCCTCTCTGTAGCTGGGAATAGAGGAATGTACCACCATGCTCAGTTTCCCTTTTCAGATGTCCTCCCCAGGCCAGGTCATTTTCTTCCCAAAGAAGAAAAAACAATATTGATCCAAGACCCAACTCTACCTCAGACCACCCATTGAGAGCCACATCAAGATTCTGTGCAGAGGTGGAAACAGACCCTGAAAGACCACAGCTACACACCTGTGACCTGCAGCCTTGTTGGGGTGGGGCTCATCATTGGGCCCAGGTCTTTCCCGTCCTCTGAAGCTGAAGCAAGTCCTGGAAGGGTGAGAAAGCACAACAGAGGGAGAAGAGAACCGAAAGCAGGATGCCTGTGCACTGTATTCGTGGAGCCCATGCTGTGGACACCACCGCCCCAGAGGAAGTATTTCCCAGTGCACACTGTTAGCTGCTTACCGTGTTTAAAGCCCTGGCCAGTCTGTGCATGTGACGCTGTCTCAGTAAGTTACTTGCATGAGGTCCAAGCAAGGGAAGCCAGGAGGGAGCCAAGGCCACTAGCCCAAGGAAGGCCCACTGCAGCCAGGGTCTGGCCAGTCCACGTGTCCCATTGCTTACTGTCATAGAACTCAGGGACATGACGTCCTCCTGGGAAATCACCCTTGCCAGCTTCCAGAGGGTTTCCTGAAGATGGAAAAGCCGAAGATTTCAGAAGCAGAGTCCAGCATTGCTGGCCTCACTCCTTACCCCTCACTGGTCCACAGAAGAAAGCCTGTCCCATGGATGCTGTTCTTGCTACTAGCACAGCTGGCTGGCTCATGACGAAGCTGAGAGGAGACATTTCCTTGCACTCAGAGTCTTCTGGTGGCCAAGGACCAGGGACTCCATTTAAAGGTCTGGAACCACCTTCCATCCAGCCATGGCATGGTACCTCCTGCATCCCAGACAAGTGCTATGTGATGTCTCTGAGTTTTATTTTACTAATGCATATATCATCCTCAACACCAAGCTCACTATGATAATGGTAACATGAAACCTATTTGCTCTTCCTTCTTCTGGAAGGTAAGTGAGGAAAAGACAGAGGTCACAGCTGAGGCTCGAGGGCTGGTGGGCTTGCAAGGTGGGCCCCAACCCAGGTGCTTCATGGATGACTCCTCAGGGCTCCAACTGAGGGCTGGGGATGTAACACAGTGATATAGTATTTGCCCAGCATTCAGGAGGCCCTGGATTTGATCCCCAGCACAAGAATGAAAGAAGGAAGGGAGGGAAGGGGGGCAGCAAGGAAGGAAGGGGAAACAAACAAAAAATACAAAAGAAACTCCAGCTGTGTGGAAGGAATGTGAAGGAACGTGGCTGGATGCCAGTTTATATGAAGACCTACCTCCAGCCTGAGTAGAAACAGAGTAGAATTCAAACCTTGGAGCTCTGAACAGCATCTGACTTCTTCAAAGGAGGAGAGACCTGTATGAGAATTCCTCTAGATATAGGTTATTATTTGATTGCACTTAAGATGTTTCCTACCAGCCTCACCCATAAATCTCAATAGGCTACTTACTGGTATTCTGATTCTTCAGATCAAAGTTGTTTTTAAATGAAGAAAGTGAAACAATATAGAACCAGAGGGATCTAGAGCTAAATGATAGCTTAAAATTGCCATAGGCAAGCGTGAAGTGGCCTCTGACCCTGTTCTCCCAGGCTCTCGGGCCATGGAGAGGAGCAGGAAGGGAAGAACCCACAGTGTGACGCTGTCACAGCTCCAGAGCCCAGCCCTCCCTCCCCTTGGCTCAGCCTCCCTGTTCTGGATGGATAGATGAAATTCCATATTGCACAGCAAAAACCCCAGCCAGGGAGGTTTCCTCCTCGGTGTCCCCAAGGCCTTGCTTCACACATAATGCGTGGTCAATAAACGTTGAATATTCAAGTGAGTGTGGTAGAGAAATACAATGTGGTGCGGGAAAACTTCCAACTCCTGAGCTCTATGGCCACCGTGCAAGCGGGGAAATGGCTCTGTGGCTCAGCCCCGAGTTGCTGCATCCAAGCGGAGCACCAAAAGGTGACAGGCACAGGGTGGTGTGCCCATTTAGCTCCAGCTGCCTCGGGTGGCACAGGACCTGGCGGCCCCCATGCCCACCCATCTTGCATATGACCAGCAGACTGGTTCCCTCAGCCAGCTCCCCACCCTGTCATTCTCAGCCTCCATCATCTGACTTGACCTTCTGTACCCAAATTTGAGGCCCAGTCTCACGGGGCTCCTCCCTGACCCTCTGTCCCCATCTCTGAACTTCTGCCAGGGAGTTTCCTCTCTGGCAAGGATGCCCCATCCTGCCCTCTTGACAGCCTACATGCTTGATTGGGTTTGAGGAGCTTTCTCTGATGCTCCCATCCCAAAGGAACAGTTCTTCTAACTCTGAGAGCCTGAGTCAATATACTTCTGAATGTGCACCTCCCAAAGCAACTGTTAGGGTCTCTCTACACATTTTCATGAGGTCAACAGCTAGCTTCTCTGCTCCTAGAGGTCCTGCAGAGGTCAGTGACTCCCGGCATCACAGAGCATCCAAATGGTGGGTGCACACCATGACTGACTGTACAGTGACAGACAGAGAGCTGAGCTCAGTCTCTTGCCCACCTCCCTCAGGGCCTTCATTCATGGCAAACATGACACCAACAAGACGGGGGATGCAAACTTCCCTCTCCCCAGCACTTGCCAAGGAAATGACACACTCTTTGAGGCACCATGCTGCCATCTGGACAGAAAAGGAGTCCTAACACCCTCTGCTTAAGGAAGGCAAGACAGGACTGAGGAGTGGGCACTGCCAGGGCTAACGCTGCTAACATTGTAACAAGCGTCTGGCTTTACCCTGAGCAGCCCTAATCCCTTCACACTGTGTGCAGGACAGCAAACATGGGCTACCTGATTTACAGAGACCCAGGGCCCAGCGCTGGGCTCTCCTGTCTGGATTCTGCCCACCCAGAACAGGAGCTGTTGCCAAGGCATCCTCTGCCCTTTTTAGTCACCCAGGAAGCTCACACTACTTCTCAAAGCCTATGCTGGTTCCTCGGGAAACCAGGGACTGCTGGGGACTGAGATGCCCTCCTAAGCCTGCAGCTTTGAGGAATAACCTATGCAATCAACCTCCCAGATGGCACCTGGCTTAGGAAAGGAGGGCAGAGTTATATTACATTTACCACTCTTCCTTTTCCCCAAGAGCCAGGCCTCAAAGGAAACACTACAGCAGTGCTAGCACAGAACCTGGCCCAGCCCAAGTGCTCAGTAAACGGTCCTGTCACCATTATCATGACTCATGATGACTTCTTAGCTGCCCATTCCTCCCTCCTAGGCTCAGGTGAGGAGCCTGCTTTTCACAGACTCATGGCTTCCTGGAGCTAGCCGGCCCCAAACCCAGCCCAGGGCTTCCCAGGCAGAAAACTAGAGTTTCTGAGAAGGCCAGGAAGTTGAAGTGAAGAGTGGCTTCACAGTGGGGGTCCTTCAAGGTGAGAAGGTTTAGCAGGCCCTTCTGACCTGCAACAGCAGGATGAGCCAAGCATCTCCCCAGAAAACCTCTTGGAAGACCCGAGGCCTGGCAGGGAGCCATGTCAGGAGGCCTCTCCAAGAAGATGCTGGCCCAACGCCAAGGCACTGCCCTGAAGCTCCTGCTCACACAACACCCGGAGGCCCAGGCGGAGGGGAGGAGGGGCAGCCAGGAGCCCTTGGCCAGAAGAACCCACCCAAAGGTGGTTGGCAGGACATAAGTGCACAGCTATCTTCCATGCCCTGTGGTTTCAGCATACCTAGGAGACTATGAAATCACTGTCCTGCCTTCTACAGCTGTGCCCACACAAACCCCACCAGGGTACCACCAAAACTTCCCCCAGAGGTGCTTCTGAAGTCACCCATTGGCTCTCCAGCCCTCACACTAACACTGACAACACAGCGTTGCTACAGGCACAGTGGTACACATCTGTAATCCCAGTTCCTCAGGAGGCTCAGGTAGGAAGATTGTGAATTCAAGTGCAGCCTAGGAAATATAGTGGGACCCCTTCTCAAAAAAAAAAAAAATTCCATTGCTAATCAAAACAAAGCAAAACATAAAGATGGACGCAGATTCATGTCACAACTTCTGCCTCCAAGGACTGATGGGTGATCCCCATTTAAAGGGCTGTCCTAAGCATTCCTAAAAGCCTCTCAAGCCTGAGGCTCTTCTCCTGTCTCTACCCTGCTGGCTTTTCTCTGGACCTCAGAGGCCTCAGGTGGGAGAATAAGTTAGTTACTGGGCATCAGGGCTGGAAAAGGTCTTGATCCTCTAGTCTAGACCAGCGATGTCCAATAAGGTGGACTTCATGTATAATTTTAAATATTCTAGAAATCTCGTTTTAAAAGTTACTTTACTTTATTGTGATAGTGAAGATTGAACCCAGGGCCTTCATACTGAGCTATATGTACAGCCCTTTAAGAAATTAAAATAAGAAAAACTTTGGATAGGGGGCTGGGGATTTAGCTCAGTGGCACCATCCCGGTCTCCCAAGTGCAAGGCTGTGACTTCAATCCCCAGTACCAAAAACAAAAACAAAAATCTTTCGATATAGAGTCTAAGTTGCCTGGGCTGGGCTTAAATGTGTGATCCTCCTCTTTCCAGAGTGTTATGATCACTGGCTGTGCACCACCATGCCTAGTTATTTTATTTAACTCAATATTATCATTTCAAATGTGCTGTAGTGACCACATTTCACAAATCAATGGCATGCATGCCTGAAGGGCAATGTACTGTATAGCACAGCACTTTTCTCCATTTTCAGATGAAGATACAGCACATGTATCTATGTAAAGGGCACCACAGCAGAAGAGGAAACCCCATGCTCTGTCCTTACAGCAGGATGATCAGTCTCCAAAGGCATAACCTTAGCCCATAGGAAAAGGGATTTTTATGATCAATCAGATTCAGAAGAACTGTAACATAAACCTATTTGAAACAGACAACCCAGAGAGGACTAGGAAATGGATATTCTTGGCATTCCAGGGCTGAGGAACAAAGACAACAGAAAGGAGCAGGAGGGAGGCTCTGGGAGACCTCTGGCGTTGGATCCAAGTCTTATTTGGGACCTCGGTCTGTGCCACCCTGCTCAGAGACACCTGGCTCCCACTGCATGTGTAAATACCCATGCTCCAACACGGGGTCTGCTAAATTTTCCACCACATCTCCCTGGAGGACTACCCACAAAAGCTCCTCTCTGCTTTAGAAGCAAGAACAAATCGTGCATTTACTCAGTGCCTCTAGTCTTCTTACTCTGAGTCGCCATGCCAACACACAGTCATAATTACCGAGGAACGCGTCAATAGTGGCAGCATTGACAAAGACACTATATCAGGGCCTGTGAGCTAAGCAAGGTCAGGCTCCGCGCAGCCCCCCAGCTTCCTGCCCACTTCCTTTATTCCACTCTGATCCATCTCTTTCCCTTCATTCTTTCTCTCCCACCCAGATGGTCTCTGATTATATTTTCTCTGTAGAGAAAGGAACTACAGCTCAGTGTATAAAACACTTTGATAGCAATTAGGAGATAGGTCCTCCACTGAGTCCTGATTTTAACTTGTGGGAGAAGTCACTTTAACATCCACGTCTCAGGGTGTTTTTGTTGTTGTTTTTATTTTGCTATGAAGGGGGAGAGTATTTTGGACCTTGCCTATTTAGCAAGTGGGTGCCTGTATTTAATTTGCCTTCTGAATTCAGGGGCTCAGAAGCACCATCTAGTCGTCGCCAAGACCATCTTTGTGATCCAAACTAGACGTACCAGAAACTCAGGGAAACAAAAGAAGGTTCAGGTCAGATAGGGAGTTGGTCCTAACTCCCTGGGAATAGTGAGGCTCGTATGTCCCCCTAGGAAGAGCGAAAATCTCAGAAAAGGAGCCAGAAGCAGCTGAATGGTGGGCTTTATCAGATTATGAAAAGATGAGTGGGATGGATGAGAACTATCAGTCTAAGTGACAAGCATCCTGAGGCCCCCAGTGAGAAACAGGACATGCACCCATTTAAAATGAGAGGTCAGAAAAAGAAGGCAGACAGCCATCACCAGAGCCCTAACACAAGAGCTCCCCAATTTCAGAACACCCAGTGCACCAACATCTGAACTTACAAAGGAGATAAATTGGAGGTTGATGATTAGCATCACAAAATGATTATTCCCTTTGTAAAAGGCTTCACTGCAGGACTGCTTTAAATAGTGCATT